GGGGAAGATGCCCTTCGTCGTCGAAGAGAGAGGTAAACAGAACATCGTGCCCGTGAGACTCCTGAACAGAGAGGCTCGTTTGTATCGGCGTTGCTTTCGTGATAGGGAACGCGCAAATTTTTACACGCTGCCCTATCGATGAGAAATATAGCTAGCCAAAGAACTCTCGTCTATTTGCTGGCATTCGCTGCGCTCTTCGATACCTGACCAAGGCTGTCTATACCTCCTTCCAATCTTCGTGATTCTAAGGTTCAAGTTGTAGGATGGCTCGTGCAGATAAGTCCTTGTGTGCTCGCTCCCGCTCGCCAAAAATGCCATGCATTCGCCTATATACTAGTATATACTCGGTTTGGAGTTGGCGTCATTTGTGGTCCCTCGCCTGCGCGCATGCGCAGCGAGGGTTATATTATGGTGTGTCTGTGCCGTCCGTCCGTCCGTCTGTCCACCGTTTTTCTCGGTAACCGCGGCAACTCTGAGCGTGAAACGTGGACATATTTTCAACTAGGAAGAATGCATGGTAAAATAAAATTCTGGAGCGGGGAAGCTGGTGAAACGGACGGCTGCCGAGGTGGATGTGCGTCAAATAGAGATCGTGAACCATCGTTGTATATACTTAGATGCTAGATGCTTTGCGTGTGTGGAGAAGACTGATAAACGTTCTCCCACTGGACAGTACACAACAAGACATCCTCTCATGTAATGACATCCCTTTAGACTAGTCCCTATGAATACTAGAATGAATGCCTTGCATTTTTGATGACCCAGTGCAAGCAGTTCAATTTTTGTGCATTAGAATGAGTTTCTTTTATATAGACTAGTCTAAGTGCTCCAGTATTAAAGATTAAAGGGAATGTAAGGGCTATATGTAGAAATGTTAATAAAGATACTCCACACTAGGGGAATGCCATGAAGTTTACTACGTCGTATGTAAATTTTAGCCGTTCATTATCCATTTAACGTTGCTGCATTGTTCAAAACTTCTTTCTAAAAAGTTGCAGTACAGTCACAAAAGTCTCGGACATATAGCTAACAAGGATCTATGCAACAATGTAAGGTGTGAGGTTAGGTTTATTCTCTGTCTAGTTCACAGATGTCCATGGTAAAGCTATCATACCCTCCGAACACCAGCAGTTGTTTGGTGGCTGGTAGAAAACAGCAAGCACAGCCACAACGTGGTGTTAGGAGCTCTGCCACTTTCTACCACTGTTGGATGTGTGGGAGGTACATGGCTATGGTGGATGATGGACTGCCGCCACTCGCGCCTGCCCCCACAGCAAGTAGATGGCCATGGAATGATACAAGAGCTGGAAATAGGGTAAGCATGTCGGGCAGTTCTTGCCATTCAGTTGGGCTCAAATTATTTTGTGAAGCCTGGGCACAAGATATGGCATTTGATATCAGAGTAGGAATGAAGATTTGCTTTGTAAATGGGATCTCTTCAGCAGAGACATAAGAGGTGTAGAGTGTGTCTTGAATGATGACAAGTGATGGTTGAAATGTAGGACTTGGTAGTGGTGATGCCTTGTACCACTGTTTGGAGCTGGTGTCCAACACTTCCACAACATTGATTCATCATCTGATAATACTGATCCTCCAGCCACAACCAGCCACCTCTTGTAGCCTATTGCCAATGAAAAAAGCCTAGCTGTAGTCATTGCAGGAAATGGCTTTGTCCATGTCTTGTTGTCACGATCAGTACTGACACTTGGTCAGATAGATTAGCTGCTGGAACCACTCCACCACCTATGATCAGCTTGTTATCAACCGTTCCCATGGCCAAAAAAACAATTGGAGTTACTATTGTCCTCCAATGAGGACCTTCTCCTGTCATACTGTACTCCAGTATTGGACATTGTGCCCCCTTTTCCTCCTCTATGCCTGTACTTCCACCCACCACTCCCTCCCCACTCCCTCTCACCTCCTTCACAAGAATCCCACCTCCTCCAATGTAGACCTTCTCTCCTATCACCACTGCCCACAGTGTCCTCAGTGGCATTTCAGTAGTGGTTTTCCACTTGAGAGGAAGATCACACTTCAAAACTCAGGAAACAGCTCTGCCACCTATTATAGCATTCACGAGAGTCTCCGAAACGACTTCAACATTATTACCTTCATCTTGGATTGTAAAAGTTTGTTTTCCCCTCAATTTCTTTGGTGATAGCAGCAATTTCAGCTTCCTTCAGTGACAAAACATCTGCATTCTCCTGTGTCTGCAAGACATATTATACTACGATGTCTATATAGAAAAAGCCTGTACCTTCAGAGTCTGGTTTTCACACTGAGTCACAAGTAGCTGTGTCTGTGATGCATACACACTTGTGTTTCTAGTGAGCTGAATTTTCCTTGGAGTGAGGATAGCTGATGATCTTTTTCTTCTAGATGTTGCGTCTTTTCTGTTAGAGCTGACTTCTGCTCTGACAACTGCCTCTTCTGTTCTTGCTCCGTTACCTGCATTACAAACTAACTTAAATTTCTTTTTTCTATTTTGTAGCTCACCATTAATTTTTGGTTTTGTGTGAGTAGTGAGGTATATACATCTTTCTCTGACTGAAGCTAGCTCTCGATCCGTATCTCCTAGAGCAAACTTCAGCTGTGGCAGTTGTTGGGATTTTGCTTCCAGTAATTGCCATGTTGCTTCGTTGTTCTTTTCTTTGATATTCATGACCTCATCCTTTCCTTGACACACTTCCTCTAGACCACTCTTCTCCAACTGCAGAGTTAAAACAAGTAAATAAAAAAATTCTGCGAATTAAGTGTGGAATATAGGGATGCCATAAAAGCAAGGAGACAAGACAGGGAAGACCTAGTGCATTAGTACAGTGGGATGATGGTTAAATTTTCAAACTGACATTCGTTGCTCGTGTAAATCTTCCTCCATACAAGCCCTGTATTGTTGCAAAGCATGACTGTGCTGCCTCATAGAATGACTCATCTCTTAAGTACGTGATGCACAGGTGTTGCCCTCTCAGACAGCTACTCAGTTTTTGGTTGTTACTGCATTGTGTGCAGTCTAAGACTTCGGTGTTCGCTCAACTAACGATGAGTTTTACAATGCTGTGTTCATGGCCCGCCAGAGAATCCCTTTATAGACTGGTCTTAACCACTGCATGCACATACTGGCATAGCAAAGAAAAGGGGTTGTTGTGATGAAAAACCTAAGGAAAACTTATACTGGCACTGTGTCTCTTGGGCCCCAGTAGCACTAAGACAGTCTCATGTGAAGTATCTATACACATACACTCCAGGTTGGCTCTCGTGGGGTCCTCGACCTCCCTGGATTTGAGAACCTTGCAGCAAGTCTCTCTCTCCCTCATAAAGACCTAGTGAGGTTTTTGGAGAGTGCAGCTTCTTTAGCTCTGACTGGGTCCTTCGGTATTTGGTGCTCAAGAAACTAATATCTCTATGTATGTATATATGTATGTCCCTAGTTTGTCATTTTGTGTTTGTGGTTCAATGTGATTGTGCGGTAGCTAGTGAGTGTGGTTATTGACACTCATTTGAATGCGGTATGTTGGTGGATACTGATGCCACAGTTCGAGTCTAACCAAGAGAAGAAAACGCTCAAATGTCACGGCTGGCGTATAGTCTGGTGCCCAGACCTTCGCAAAATATATGCGCATGCGTTTACGTGTGCGCGTGAAGGGGTCTGTAGGCGGGACCACGTATGCTGTTTCGGAGACGCTAGCCCCTTAGAGCGACTGGGTACGAGACTATAAATAGCCAGTGAGCTGTCCTCCTCGATTACAGATTCTTTCGGTGTCAAAAAGTAGGGCGAGCATGAGCGGTCCTTCGTACGAGGAAGTGCTAAAGGTCCATGGCCTCAGCGAAAGCCAAATGAAACAGCTATTCCCGCCCAAAGATCTAAAAGATTAGAGGAAGAGTTGCCAAAGATTTATATGGTTGGCAAAAAGATTATCTGGGATTAGGCCCGGGAGCGGTGAGCGGTTTAAAGCATGACGTCACGATGGACGACGAAGGCAGGCGTAAGGAGTATCTGCGCCAGTGGATTACAAAACACGGTGTAAAAGCGACTTACGAGCTAATGGCGCGTGGGTTTTTAGATGCTGAAAGAGCTGACCTTGCAGACCTTGTATGTATAATATGCAAAGAAAATACAGCTTGTGGTGAGTCCGTAAATGCAATAAGGCTGCATGCAGATCGGTCTCACTACACCTGCAGATGTTGCTCCTAACCAATCTGACTCGCAATTGAAGCCTAACTGGCCACAGCCACATTCAGGTATACATAGTATACACAGTTATCAGCCTGGGCCCTTGGCACAAGTGTTCATGGAGATATACCCACAGGTGTTCATGGAGGTGTACCCACGGGTGTTCATGAAGGTACTGAAGACGTTGATGCTCCACATGCATGTCCAACAATAAATCCAGGTGAGTGACGGACTTTTTTTATTTCCATCAATAACACAATTGTTCTCAATCGTTCCAGGGATGGATTTTCAATTGGATAAAAAAAATGGCATTGTAGTGCTGGTTACTTGCAATTATGATTTATCAGGGATCAATTGGTAAAGTAGATGGACCTAATGATGATGCAGAACAGATGATAACAACATTCAATATGCTTGGATACGTTGTTCATCACCTTAAAAATGAAGAAGCAACTAGAGTTAAAATTGAAGATAGTTTGCAAAAATTATATAGTTATTTGGCAAAGTATGATGGACCAAAGGAAAAGAAAGCTATTATTTTCGCCTTTTCTGGCCATGGTAAGAGAGATGAAAAGAAAGAATTCCTTTATGCTAATGATGGTGCAATAATATCTCTACATGATGACATAATGCCACATTTTGTTGGGCACCAAAATATATTCCAAATACCAAAGTTGTTTTTCATAAATGCGTGTCGGGGAGAGAAGGAGTTACAAGTTAAACAACGTTTGGACCCCGTACAAATCTTAACTACAAAGTTGAAAATTATCTGATTGCCTATGCAACAATAATTACAGACCATGTTGCATATGACAAATGGTGGATGAAAAACCTAGCCATAAAAATTAGAAGTGATCGTTATGCGCCACTGTCAGTTATACTGGATGACTTGGCAAAAGATGTGAAAGAGGATTTACAACCAGAATATTATGTTAGTCGGCTGAGGGGCAGCTTCAGGTTCTGCTGAGATAAACATAACATGCTCCAAACTCTAGACTTAGCTATAATTATAGTTATGGATTATAGGGTACTCTAATATACATTATACTTATTTTGATGACTTGTAATTCACCGTAATGATATATATGCGCGAAAACTTACGCGAAATATTGAACTGCCCACTTCGCTCACCAAAAATAAGGTTTAGTAATAATATCTAGAGCATGCACAAGCATTGTGCCAGGCCTTTCTCACTAAGTTTTTTACTATGTATGCGGATCATGAGATTTGACCTGTGCTGTGGCATCCTTACATATTTTTTTGAGCGTCTATTTAGATGCTCATTTATGCACTCACTATACAAGTGGAAAAATCATTTCTTCAAAATGAAGGGGTGATATAGGGATGGCTTGAAGCACCAAAAAGGAAGAAATGAAAAGCACTAAAGTGCAAACCCTCGGCGAACTGCGCATGCGCGGTACCACTAATTGATGGGCTGGGCTTTTCTTTTCTTTACTCGTTGTATCGCGCTAGTAGCTCGCGGAGAGTCTGGCACGGGCTAGCTACAGTAGTAGATTGCATGCGGGAGTCGATACATGCCCTTCGTTGTGACTTCTTGTGCCTTCAAGATACACAGAGCGCGCGGACGCAGTCGAGGTAAGCCTGTGCTAATTACCATATTGGCTTGTTCACTTGGTTTTCACGCCATAACTTTAGAACGCAGTAGTTTTACGCCTTTTTCAAAATCAACCCAGTGTAGCACTGAACCCGATCATATCGCTATTTACCTGATTTCGTGCGCGCGGTGGCAGAAAACGTGGTAACAGACAGAATGACAGACTGACAGACTGACAGACACACTTACGGGACAACTACCGTAACCCTCGCTGCGCATGCGCGCCGAGGGTTAACAAGGGGTCATTACACAGCAAAGATGCACCAAGCTACATGACACCATCCCTATATTGTCTCATAGTAAACTTTACTTGTGAACTATTATAACACAAAGATATAGGGATGGTGTCATGTAGCTTGGTGCATCTTTGCTGTGTAATGACCCCTTGTTTCTTCCTTTTTGGTGCTTCAAGCCATCCCTATCACCCTTCATTTTGAGAAATGATTTTTCCACTTGTTTCCACTATTTTTCATCCTCTGCATTTTCTCAGTCACTCGATAATTCATGGTGTTGTAAAGATACTGTTGAAGCGAAGCTAATGTAGGGTGTATGCGTAGTGTCTCCAACAACGAAGCGATTAGGTTAACGTTGTGGCACATATGGCGGGGTGGTTTCGTAGGCAGGCTTCAGTAATCAGACTACAACGATAGATATAACATGGGGACAAACAATGAGGCGCTGGGCAAGGCCGCGTACACGGCGCACACTGCCAAGTTGCTCCTCGTACAAATCAACAGCAAACGTAGCTAGCCAGTTAAAATGTGTATCTGACTTACAAAGGCACTGGAGGTATAGATTCCTCTGCAGGCATCCTGGCTTAGTCTCGTAGACCTGGTTCAACGCACGAGACTATAGTATATGCGCGGCGCACCGCATTGGGGAAACGCCTCCTCTGCGCATGCGGCTCACTGATGCTGAGTTAGCAGCAATGGCGTTGTCCAGCTCAACGATCTACCGTAGTGACTTGCGGCAAGAAACAAGCGAATCGCTTGATAGCGTGCACACTGTTCTGTGAAAAATCAACGCTTCAACTGCTTCCGGTAAGGAGCTACGGGTCTGAAGAAGAAGAAGAAGAGAGAAGAAGAGATATGATGAGATACACGAAATCGCGAACTCGCGTAAGTGCGAATTCTCTCGTGGGGAACTGAGGGCGGCACGTAGGACGTCTTGGGGCATAGGTATAGCTCGGTATGGGCCTCTAGCCTACTGCTAGGCTTTTGAAAAGCCATGGTGAGTCAGTTCGCGGTGAGTTTGTGAGGCGCGTTGTGTACCTGGAGTCACGTGAGATTCACTCGTGTCATCCCTATATAGCGATAGAGCAACTCCGACGCTCTGATACCTCCTTATCCAAAATTTTCCTCCTTGTATAATCTGTTGACGATGACTGTCAGAAGGAACAAGGAGGATTTTGATAGGACCTAGTGGATGGAGTCCATAATGAGCATTAGAGACAGGTGACTAGCTCCGTACTAGGAATGCGCATGCGCATATCTTTGCCTCGCGCCTGCCAGCCAATGCGCAAACACTCCGACTGAGGCCGCTCATGCGCGCGCTCTACTGATTGCGCGCGAAGCCAGACTTTCCTACGAATCTGCGCGCACGGCAGAAGCTAGACTTCCTACGAATGATGACACCAGTGACAATGACTTCCTAAGCGTGACTAATTGACATCTTAAGCGTGACGACACGTCGTACGCTCGTACGTGCGCAGAGCGCGAGAATACCACCCGGAGTAGCTACGCGCTCAGGCAATAATTGGCGAGCGGAGCTAGTGTGTCCACACGGCGCGATTTGTCTATTTATTTATCCGTCCGTACGTCGGGCTATTGCGCATGTGTCCAGAATTACGCGCTTCTTTTATCCGCAAACTGTTTGTACACGCTCTTGCTGCTAGCTCGATGCCGCAGCCAGGGAGAGAACTCGTCCATTCGGCGGCATTCGCTGCACTCTGGGTGCCTTATCGAGGCTTTGCAATCTTCGTGGTTCTAGCTGCAAGTTGTAGTAGCCTAGGTTGCTGTGTGGGATATAAGCATTGCGTGCTCGCTCCCGCTCGCCAAAAATGCCGTGCATTCGCACTACTAAAGTCTGTTAGCGTTCACCTTGCGCCGGAATGCACTAGGTCAAAACTTTTACGCAGGTTGCGTCATAATTGAAATATCGCGAATATTTGTGGCGGTGGATGTATATTAAACGCTATATATTCCGCGTGTGCGGTGATACGTTCCATGTGTTTTTCCGTGAGTTTTTCTAGTAAGACGTGTTATCTCAACCACAACCTCTCGTTCTTGCCTTTTCCTTGGCCTGTGCTCCGCAGTATCGGCGGGAGAGAGGGTTCTGCTCGCGCGCGCTACGCGCGCACACTCTACGCGTAGCGCGCACTTGGGACCCGCGTGATCGCATTTTCGGAACGTCGCGTCCTTTGCTTATGTGCATGTGTACGTAGTGGGCGTTGGACGCGCTCCGCAAAGCATCTATATAAGAGACCTAAGTCAACTCCACCACGTTGCGCTTTGAACATATTCGAAATCGGCGGTCGTCGCTAAGTTTAGCGACATTACGCAGTTTCCTCACGGCAAGGTCCAAGGTGAACGCGAATATGGATTTTAGTAATGTACTTGTTTCCATGACAGCTACTACCCCGTTGCCTGCTCTGCACACTCCATCCACTATGCAAAGTTTCTCTTTCTTGTTACCACATGAATGTCCGGATATTATAACCATACAAAATGGAGTATTGTGCATAAAATGCTATCACCTTTCTTTTGTAGCATGTTCTCTTCCATATACTGTAGACAGAGAATAGAGAATACTAAAGTAAGTGAGCCTCATCTCTCTCACCACTGGTAGCTACTCAGGAAGGTCCTCCAGCTCCTGTTCTGGAAGAGGTTAGCTATATATATACCAGATGTACAGGAGACTGATGTGCAGAGAGGAGAGGAGGAGGAGGGATGCCTCCCAGTCCCACTGGAGTGTGTTTCTTCTACTCTTAGCACCTCATGTAGAGAGAGGGCAGAAGAACAAGAAGACCACTGTGACACACGTACTGTGCAGTGAGAGGAAATGCCACTATAGTATAACACTGTGGGGTAGTTCAAAATGCAGACCACCTTTACCTTTAGTCTTTGACAAGCAGCAAGAGCCAGGAAGAACAGATATACGGTTATTGTGTCAGGTTTAATTCATTACTGTGAGCAACCTCCACATTCCTCAGCCGGGATCTCTGCAATCTGATTGGTGATAGATCGGCAAACAGTAGGTGTGATGCTGACAAAAGATTGGGAGGGAAGGTGGACAGTTTATGTGTGAAAGGTGAGAGATTTCAGTGACTTCAACTGGGAGAGTGTGTCAGGTAGAAGAGTGCGTTGTGATCTGCTGTCAGTGTCTCGACTTTCTTCACCTGGCCGAGATCTGGAAGACTAGCTAGGGGAGGGGTGAAAGTTGTTGTGCGTGCATGCATGAGAAAGGGGCGGAGCAATTGATATTCATTTACTTGCCGTAAAACATTTACTGACGTGTTGGTTACGCAGACTGGACCACACAAGGAAAAGGTGGCTGTGACGACACAGTTGAGATCATAGAGTTTTTAATGATTTTTCACTGGCTCAGTCAAGGAAAGGGGTGGTTATGGCTGCAGTTGAGATCATGAGTTTTCATTCCATTGGACATTAACCGATTTTCACTAGCTCAACTTAAGCAAGGAAAAGGGGTGGTTACAAAAGGTGCGATGCAAAGGTGACAGATGTCTCATGTTTACCAAATGCATCAATTAGACTGGCCAAGCAAGTGTTGTCACCATCACAACATCAATAACCAGACATGCAAAGAAAAAGGGACGAAAATTACTGCTGAATTCTCATAAGAATTCATGACACATCACTCGTGCAAAGAAAAGAGGAGCGGGTTTGTGTGGTGGTGCGTGTGTGTGTGTGCGTGCGTGCGTGCGTGCGTGTGCATGCATGTAAAACTGCACCCTTGCACCCTTAACATGCCGCGCATGCGTACGGTATAGCGTGAACGTCATCCGCATTCTGCTCCTTGCACCGGCAGGCTGCGTAGAAGCATTGCAGGTGAGCTGCTGAGCACAGCCTGCCTAGTAAGAAAATGTTATTATCCTGCTCCACCATTCAGACATCAGAATCTGCACAGATCTACCATGATGTAGTAGCAGCTTACACGTACTTTAGCATGTGTAATCACGCCCACTGCGCTGAGGGTTAGCACTTCAGTGCCTTCATTACCCTCGCGCGCATGCGCAGCGAGGTACTGTAGTTGGGTTTGTCTGTCTGTTACTCTACACGCTCACCTCTTGATTCGAATGTCTGGTTCTCCAGAAAAGAGATCCAGATACCCACGGTCGACGAGTCAGAAATAATGGAGGCGTTTTCTCGAAATGCTCCGTTGCAAAGCTGAGCGCGAAAGAGCTCATATGCATCTAGACTCACGACTGGATGGCTTACCGCGGTCGTCCTGCTGCTACTTCGGAGCACCAGAAATGCAACGCAGGCGTGTATCGCCTCTCGCACTGCTATCTAGTTAGCCGCGTCAGTACTCTTCGCGAGCTGGCAAGAGACCACTAGACCACCCCATCACCCACCCCTAACCTCACAACTCGTGATCATATCCACTACCACTCTCAGAGGGTTGTGTTTTCACCCTGCTATGGGTCCCCGATCGCGATCGTGCTCGTCATGCCTTTTGCGAGGATCGGTCTCTAGACGATCCATAAGTTCAAGAGATAGTTGCTAGGCTTACGACTATGAGGACTCTCAATCGGAGTGTACCCTCCTACAGATCCTGTCTGGCCCTACCTAAACTCGCACAGTTCTCCGCACCTGCCCACCTGCCTCCAAGTCTATCCCCACAGCCCTAGGCTCCTTCCGACAATCTAATGAGAGGCGCTCTATCAGACGTCGCTGGGGGTCCAATTCCCGACTGGCGTGGCTGAAGGCTCCCTACCATCTTCCCGGGGAGGGCTGAACCTTCGGCTTGCCTCTCTCCACGCTCCTGCTGCCTACATTGGCTCTCTTCACCAATGCCAGCATTTGGTGGCAAAAATCGGAGGGAAGTTTGCCCCGCCCCCTAGCCACCTTGCCGACTCCCTCCAATCCCTTTCCAGAGCGGCTGGACGTCCAGATTGGGAATCCATTCAAGACATCGACGTCCCCCTCCTTCAACATTCCCTCTCGCGAGCTATTGATGCAGCCTCCCTGGATGCTCTATTGGCTTCTGCCACTCATCCCCGCCGTAAAGCGCTCGCCCTTTCAACCTCAATTCGCCATGCCGGTGACTGGCTTAATGTAGTTCCATCGTCCGCTTTAGGCCTCCACCTTCAGGACCGTGAATTTCGCCTATGCCTTAAATATTGGCTGGGCTTACAGATCTTTGAGGAGGACAGGAGGTGCCCTGTCTGCCTCTTAGTCGCAGACCAGTTTGGTGATCACCACGTAGGATGTGGGGGAAACGCCGACAGAATTTTTCGGCATAACTCCCTGCGGGATGCAGTTTTCTCAGCGGCACAGTCAGCCGCCCTCGCGCCTCGCAAGGAAGTTCCTTCCCTCATCCCGGGCACCCAGAATCGTCCTGCGGACGTTTATCTACCATGCTGGAAAAGGGGCCGCCCTGCTGCACTCGACATCACAGTCATATCTACAATGCAACAGTCAACTATCCAGTCAGCTGCCGAGATTCAAGGCCATGCTCTGCATGTGGCGGAGGCACGGAAATTTGCCACCCATGGTGCATCATGCCAAGCAGCCGGCATTTCCTTCATCCCTCTCGCTATCGAATCCCTCGGCGGTTTAAGTGACACCACTGCTGAGACCTTGTCCAGCATAGGCCGTCTCATAGGCCAACGTTTTGGGGTCCCCCCCCTTGAATCGTCCCGTCAGCTTTTTCAAAGGTTGGCCATCTCCCTATGGAGAGGGAATGCCACCGCCTGGATCCATCGATGCCAGCCACCTGCCCCTTTCCTAGACGGTGTGGTCTGAATCCCCCCCTTCGGCCGGGGGCTTTTCGTGTGTGGTTATTATTTATTTTTGTGTCCTTTTTTTGTTTTTTGGGATCCTTTTTTTTGTTTGTTTTTGTTTTTTTTTGTCCTTTTTTTTTGTTTTTTGTTCACTATCATTGTGTAATTTGCATTCCACTCTAAACCCAACTCATCAATTAGTGGTTCTGCGCATGCGTTTACTTACGCGTGCGCGTCACAGTGCGCCGAGGGTTTGCACTTCAGTGCTTTTCATTGGGTCTGTCTGTCTGTCTGTCTGTCTGTCTGTCTGTCTGTCTGTCTGTCTGTCTGTCCGTTACTCTACATCTCACTTCACGGGTGTTTGTTCGTCTCACAAAGGATATGACCTGCTTAATTAACGGGCAAAGAAGGTCAGAAAATAAAGGCGGTTTTCTCTGAAACTGCTCCGTTGCAGAGCTAGAGCGCGAAAAAGCCAATATGCAAATACACAACGGACAGGATAGCTTACCGCGATCTGACCGATCCGTGTGCTCTGCGTACCTCGGAGGCACCAGAAGATGCAACGCAGGACCTCTCGCATGCTATCTAGTAGTGTAGTTAGCCCGCGTCAGACTCTGCGCGAGCTGGCAAGAGACCACTAAAACTAAACCCAGCCCATCAAATTTATGGAGGGAGATTAGTGTCAAAATTACACCATCATACACTCCCCCATTCAGGTATGGTCCCCTCATTCATTCAGGTACGGTCCCCTCACTCATTCAGGTATGGTCCCCTCACTCATTCAGGTATGGTCCCCTCACTCATTCAGGTATGGTCCCCTCATTCAGGTATGCTATCTTCATTCAGGTATGGTCCCCTCATTCAGGTATGGTCCCCTCATTCATTCAGGTACGGTCCCCTCACTCATTCAGGTATGGTCCCCTCACTGATTCAGGTATGGTCCCCTCATTCAGGTATGCTATCTTCATTCAGGTCTAAGGTGTCCCCTCATCAGTTATGCTATCTTCATTCAGTATGCTACCTTCATTCAGGCATGCTATTTCATGCATGCGTGTATGGTCTTGTGGATGTTAGTTTAGTTTCCACTGCCAATTATGCATTATTATGTAATCAGATTTTAACTAGTGGAAATGTTGAACATTGTTGGCGAGCCGGAGCGACCCAACTTGGGATTTCACCGCGATGTTCGGGCTGCATAACGCGCACAGCTTCCTTTCGTGAAGCAAGACAGATCTACCTGTCGCCGTACATGCGTACTGTATATTTGTCAGAACGGTGAGCAGGTGAGCAGAACGGTACTTACCTTACGCTTTCGCTCGTCAGTCGTGGTCCACCTGGCAACTGGCATGCAGCAGTATGTGCCCTAGCGTATTATGCAAGTTGCACCTTGAGATTGGGAAGAGGTACAGCTTCGTCAGTCACCGATGGTCAATGGAGGAGTTAAATTAATTCGGATAAAAAGAACGCGTACAAATACGCGCCATGCGCACTTACACGACGTACGAACGCATATATATACATAGAAATTCCGCTCGAACGTATATACGACTAGGTTTGGCTCGCTCCCCGCTCGCAATAAAGTCAGATTCTGATTCTATGAAAGACAAACAATTTACAAACAATTGAACACCATAGTCTGCACAGTCCAAGAGGGTATGATCTGGCGAGTTAGCTCATCATAGTACTCTGGCTAGAGAAATCAATGGAGGTGAAACTTCAACGACTGATCCCCAGGCATGGGAGGAAGTGGTCCATCCCAATCCAGTCATACCACGATTGGCTTTTTCCTATATAACAAACACTCACAACCTCAACACACAGATTACATAAAGACTATATACTACCGGTAGAGTTAATTCAACATCCTCTGGTGCTCTGCTGTCATCACAGCTGGTAGGAGACATATTACGTTCGGATCCCAAGAGGTGATTGTTCCCATCTGTACTGAATGTGAAGACTTTGGAGTAACACGGGGCGAAAACTACATCATGCAGGCAAAAAAGGTGATTTTCCATTGTCGACATCAAGTGATGTTGTTATCTTCCAAATACTAAAAAGCTGGTATGTTCAGACGCATGGTGCATCCACTGAAATACGTCACGCCATAACCGCTCTACTCCGTTGGTTGGGCACGGTAACAGTTTTTCATCACCTTCACCCTCCACGGTCTCTGCGGACACACTGACTTTGTGGAACCATAGGTTCTGAACAGCACCCTCAAAACCCTGAGTACTGTATTGGCCAGATTATTGTTGGCACAGTTCGGTCTAAAGACTAAACGGCTATAGCCATCTAGCCTCCATGGAAGATCATTTTCACCCACCTACAATAGCTATATCAACAACAAAACGATATAAACAAACTGCAGGCCTGACCTTATATTTTTGTGGTTCGCATTATGTGCCAAGGTGTTGAGGGCCCTGAACGCATATCTCCCGCCTATGGTTGTTCGGATGCATACGACGCAGTATACGAGCCCTCAGGGTCACACGCGTTGTTATTCCCCTACCGCGCTGTAATGGACCCCTGATTCCATGAAATTGAGACTGCATTACACATGACGATTCCCCCCCACTGAAAATTGCACTTGACAATTGGCAATCCACTCTGGATCAGTTATTCTTGCATAATGCTACGAACTGACAAGATTGAATTCAGTCATCTCCTCCTCATATGGTGCTCACCGAAACACCAAATACTTGAGCTATCTGATATACACTAAGTGCATGAGGATATAAGTGTTCCAGCTTGATGTTATGGATTATATTGTAAGTAAGAGGGCCTTCCAATGACCATCAATGACATGGAAGGGTTTCACTAAAAGTAGGTGGAACAGCTCCATGTTTTCAACAAGTATCTCGAAGCCAGAAGAACGCCTAGCCATGAATGGCAATGGCCCGTTTTGTTCGGCGATCGCTAACCGTCCCTCAATCTCTTTTTCGACTACTAGATCCCGGTACACTTACTCCACCCTCCCTCCAATCTTGTGCCCGATCAATGATAAATTAGAATCAACTCATAATAGGGTCAATATCCGATAGTGACACTCTGTACACAGCCTGGAGTATCCTACGAGCTAGACCCATACTACTCGTCTAATGCACGACAAATACAGTGCACATGCGCAACATGGGAAACATTGAACTTTAAACAAACTCGAACACGTGTCGGTTGTTTTTGAAACTCTGCCAATGGTTTCCTGATCGGCGGGAACGGCCGAGAGATCCCGAGAACAGCGTATACACAGCCCTGGACTTTTCTCAGCCGTTAGGAGAAGCAAGAGCTCATCTAACGCAGCCGCCTCGTTACTGTGATCTTTTGGAGCGTTGGAAGGTAGATATTATAGCTAAGTTTCTGAAGTGTCCTATTCAGCCTATATACACAGGTGGAATTGAGATGGAAGGAGGAGAGAACGAGAGTGTTACTGCTAGGAGATTGTCTTTCATTTTACTGGAGCAAGAATCACTGTATTATGACAGGCGTGCACACACTCATTCTTAGCGATTCCATGTGTCTCCAACAGCGTCTACATAGTGCTCTAATTTTAACATTTACCAACTTTATACCACAATTCATATTCATGTTTCAAAGAAAAAATGTTATTTGCTTTCTGCAATCATGTGGTTTTGGTCCTCTGTTAAAGTTGTTGTCAGTTGTTGCGGTTGGTGTCTTCACAAACCATTCATCACTATTATGTTTATATTAAATTCAAACCCACGAAGTATAATACCTCAATCCACAAGACCATACATCTGCATGAAAATATAATACCTCAATGAGTGAGGTGACCATACCTGAATGAAGGTAGCATGCCTGATGAAAATAATACCCTGAATGAAGGTATTATGCATGCCTGAATGAAGATAATAGCATACCTGATGAAGATAGCATACCTGAATGAGGGGACATACCTGAATGAGGGAGTGTATGATGGTGTAATTTTGACACTAATCTTCCTCCATACAAATTACTGATACGGCACATTACGCGTGCGCATCACAATGAGCCAGGGTTTGCACTTCAGTGCTCAATCAGTGGGCAAAAACGATATCTTCTTTAATCTCACCCTTAGTTCTCGATTGCCTGGTTTATGTCAGCTACAGTGCTTTGCATAATAATAATTATAGAGACTGAATTTTGGGATATTTAACATTTTGGTCCATTACTCGGCCATACTATATGCTGTGCACATGAGAAACATATCAAAATGATCAGCAATCTTTTCTGATCAAAGTGATCAAATTAATATTAAACCATGTGATCGTCATGTGCACCATTGGCTGCCAAACAAGGTCTTTCAGAAATTCGGTTAGCTGATTATTTCCACAAGCCTGGGAGTTAAGACTTGAACTTGTTATGCACAATCTTAGTCTACTGGTGCATCTTCTGGGCCAAACATTTCACTCACCGCTCCAAATACCGTTAGTGTGAAATCTGGCAAAACAGCCATTTTAGAGGTCCCCAGGGGTTAGGCTGATTATGCAGCCATCTTTACTAGTTAAGGTCTTGTTCGTTAACAGAATTAACCAGACAAATCACTCCACCAAGTCATTATGGATATGATGGCATGTAACTAACATGTTTCATCTCTATGCGTGCTACATTCACAAAAAGTTTGGAGGAGTGAAGAAAGAAAAGCTATCACCCAGTACGATACTGCTAACCACATACCTCCCGTGTTTGAGTGCACTACCTTACCGCCTGAGCTAGTCACTCCACGCTCCTGAAGTAGGCTAAAACATTACCTATAATTATTCGGGATTACGTAGTCAATTGCGCCCGTAATGTGGACCCCAAAGAGTTACAAGAAGTTTGAGGAGCGAAGAAAGAATAGCTATCTCCAAGTACGGTAGTACTTAGATGACACAGGTTGTCCTGAGTTGTAACATCTGAAGCAGCCACTTTGGGGAGGTATTGTTCCCAGTCATTGTGACGTTTTGCTATTACTGCGCGCGCGTTTCCCTGGCGGCGCGCGCTCTTCAGCCATAATTATATTCTGATCTGCTACAGCAGACACCGCGATAGCTAAACTAGGCTAGAATCTTCCTCTGCAATGGCACTAGTTAAAAGAAAGATCCATCGGCTTTTACTAATGGCATCGTTACTTCTCGCAGCGATCTGCTACTCATTGACATACCTCAATCAGCGCAGGCAGACAAGTGAGCTAGCAACTGGAAGGCAAACAACACATGAGGACCCTACTGCTGCTACCTCGACTGCTACTATCCCCACCAAACTAAATATTTCTACTCGCAGGCAGACAAATGAGCTAGCAACTGGAAGGGAAACAGCACACGAGGACCCTACTGCTGCGACCTCGACTGCTACTATCCCCAGCAAACTAAATATTTCTACTCGCAGGCAGACAAGTGAGCTAGCAACTGGAAGGCAAACATCACACGAGGACCCTACTGCTGCTACCTCGACTGCTACTATCCCCACCAAACTAAATGTTTCTACTCGCAGGCAGACAAGTGAGCTAGCAACTGGAAGGCAAACAGCACACGAGGACCCTACTGCTGCTACCTCGACTGCTACTATCCCCACCAAACTAAATGTTTCTACTCGCAGGCAGACAAGTGAGCTAGCAACTGGAAGGCAAACAGCACATGAGGACCCTACTGCTGCTACCTCGACTGCTACTATCCCCAGCAGACTAAATATTTCTACTCAGACCCGAAGCAGTATTTCCACCGCTCGGATCTCCCGCAACATTTCTAGGACCAGCATTTCTGCTCGAGTCCCCAGCACTACCCCGCCATCGACCTTGCTAGCACAACTTTGGAGCAAATGGTCCAGCGAGTCCGCTCTACCTAAAGTTCCGGAGGCGCAGTTGCAGTGTTCTGATGCCATCTGTTCCAATCTCTCTCCTCCGAACTTGAAATGCATGAATAGAATTCCAGACCTTGTCAAAAGAATGGCGGCTCCGACCTGCCGATTTCAGAAAGGGGAGTCAAAACCCAAATACTTACTGAGAAGCTTTCCTGGCAGCGGAAACACTTGGGTTCGACAAGTGCTGGAGAAAGCTACAGGAATATGCACAGGTGATGCTGAATTACACGAATCTCATCCCAGTATATTATAGTCTGGCATGAGTTGGTAGCCTGGCCCCATTCTCAATTGGGAAAGGGCTAGGGCATCCCGCCAAGGGCAGGGGCAGCTCTTTGTCCTGGTTTACGCACATACACATGTTCATGACCCTAGTGCTGCCTTATACAGGTTCCATCTACTGTGATTCTGACATAATGTTATCGGGGATGATTGGAGAAGGCGTGGACTCTAGTTCAGTTTTGGTCGTCAAGACCCATAACCCTAAGGTGCAGGAGTGTATGCATCACATACACTTAGCCTAAAACTGATTCTGGCAGATGATCTGGGCTGACAGTCTAGATGCCACATCACGTAATCTGCAAACAAAAAGCCTCCAAACTAAAACAGTGTTTTAAACACTGCACCAATCACTCGTGTATTAGTTGTCCATTATTACCAAGTGCAGCCATTATTATTATAGCCAGGGTTTCATCTAGAGTTTGGAATTGGGGGGGTACCACTCACTCATCAGTGCTGCAAGCACAGGAGGTAATTAATAGTAGGCATCAGTTTTTTATTGTCAATGTACGTTCCAAAATCTTTATGGCGGGAAGTGGTGAAGTTTGGGGGGAAGCTCCCCCCCTGTAGATGAAACCCTGATAGCACTTTAGCCAAATAATGCCTATGTATGTAAACTGAGTGAGAATCGGCTCGTGTGCAAATTTCATAGCATGGAACAAGTAGCTGGTTACTATTAATTGCGGTTACTAATTTTAGCATTTTTGCACAGATAATTTTTGGCATATACTAATTTTAGCGATTTTTGTCCCCACATCATTTGTGTATGAATGTGTGATGATGACAACCAATCAAATATTTCCAATTTCATCCTTCTTCTCTTGTGCTCCAGCTGACCCAAAGTAGAACCACAAAGCTTTGCAATTTGTTTCCAGACTCCAGAGTAAAGCTCCAGTAGAGTAAACACGTGAAACTACACGTAGCTTGCGCAACTAACTGTGCGGAAATTAGCGGAATGTGCGCGCTATTGGCACACACAGATATTATAGCCGCAATTAATAGTAATTTACAGCTACTGATGAGTGCATGCTAAGCTCTTTTGGTGTGGTCCAACTGTTTGTATGAAGGCCCATAGTCACCTAATGAATTTTGGTGAGTGGGAGTGAGCCAACTTTTGAATTGGCAATGTGTTGAGCACACAGGCACATGACGGTTGATTCTTCCATTTAAGACTAAATTTTCAGTCACGAAATCTGCTGGTCAGCATTTTGTATTGCTCGCGTAGCCCTATATAGCCCTAGCCCTGTAACCCATGTTCATAATGGATTGGGTATAATATTCCGTGACTCAAAACTTAGTCTTGAAGTAGCAAATGTTTTCATGCATGCCTTAAGCTGTCTGATGGAATGTGGTTTCTCTTCCATATTATGTATAATATAGACACCTGGTAATGCTACAATATTCATCGTTCGTAATCCCATCAATGCAATCGTGTCATTCTGGAAGTGGCAGCTCATCTATACAAGGATGTACAAAACGGAAGAAAAAATACACGTCGCCAATCCACCAGTCAGATACTTCCGTCAGTTATAATAATTATAGTTTGCTTATCAAGTGCATTCATATATACCCTAATTCAGGTAACAATCCTAGATGGAACAATTCGATTAGAGGAGAGGTTAATTATTGGACAAACCTCATTAAGGGCACGCTCTCTAAAACCAACAAACCACTTCTGATTGTGACCTACGAAGACATTAAGAGCAACACAACCAGAGAGGTGACTAACAACAAGTTGTTTGTGTTGGTGTTTTTTAAATGGGCAGTTTTTTTGCAGGTGTTTCGAATGCTAGATTTTCTAAATGTGGAGTACTCTGCGGAGGAAATTATCGAAAAATTCAAAGATGACCAACTAACAATGTTTAAGAGACCGAAAGTAAGGGATTTTGATCCCTACACACCTCCACAGAGGGACAGAGTGAGAATCCGTCTCAAACAGCTCTCGACATCACTTCACCACAAGACAATGGTCGAGATAATCAAACGCTATTTATTAGAACTTTGATAGGCTCTGTTGTGACTTTCATAGTCACGTAACAGCATGTCTTGTTTTGTGTGTCTGCCCACGGTAGCTCAAACGTCTCTACTAGCAACGTTGTATTTGCACAGCCTCATTAGAAGAGAAAGGTAAAGGGTTTTATAATCTGTATATACACGTCACCTATTTCCTGGGTTTCAAGAGGTTTGGCACTCAGTTTAAAGGGAATTTGGCCTAAATTTAGAAAACGTGACTATAAACTGCATTCTTTCACCGGACCTTATTGCTAAATTTTCATGATGCCGCCACGTTCGCTTCAAGAGATCCATGTACAGGTTGAAAAGTTTCAAGAAAACAATATATAGCAATAATACATTGGTTGAAAATCAAAACAAGAGGGTGTTCGTATATAGAATGTGTCGGGTCTTGCACTCAGTTGTGGGCTGGAGGTGGAATTACTGCATGGTGAATGGAGGGAGGGAAAGGAAAATAATGCCATAAGTCCATAAAGTCGTATTATACAGGAAGATCTTTTGGAAAGATAATGCACTGTCTGTCCTACATAGTACACGTCAGTAAATCTAGAGTGCACCCGTTTACAGCGAGATTGTACATGTCTGTAGCGTACAACCGACACTGCGCATATCGTAATGTTCTACGATGATTCTATATAAATCTGTGAAAGACACGCGAAGTATGTGGAACTGCTCGCTTTTCTCGCGAGGCATTCGTTTTAGTACCCACTGCAGAGAGCTCCATAACAGTCAGTAGTACTCAGAGTAACAGGATTGCACAGTGCATTGATGCTTTCCCATAAAAAAAAAGGACAAAAATATCAGAAAAGATATATAGCACTATCAAAATGTACCAAAACGACTTCCCCCCCTCCCATTATCTCATAGCAGTTATATTGTACACTAGAGAACCTACCATTGTGATTGTGAGCGATGGTGTGGGCGAGGGCAGGGTTGTTTCCCCCGGCAGGGTGGGCCACTGCAGCCACAAGCAGCTGCCATGACGGAGCTCCAAACCTCCGACTGTCGTAAGCCTTCTTCAGCCAATGGGTCAGGTCCTCCCTGAGACTCAGCTCTGAACATCGCGACAGTCTGCCTCGATGGTGTCAAGGGTACCAGGATGGAGTCTCAGGGCCAGACACAGACCTTTCCACTCCGCAGCAACTTTGCAGAGCTCAGAGTGTACTTCAAACAAGTGTTTGATGTCTGGAGGACAAGATGAGAAGACGGTGAGAAGGTAGGAGGTACAGAGCTTCAGGCGTATATAATGGCACCGTTGAGCGGCCATGGTTTGAGGGGGCAGCGCTCGAGGATATTTCTTGTCGTTTCTGGTGCAAATACTTATTTGAGCTGGCAATCAGCACTCGTCTACATTCCAAGCGTTGCAGGCAGAGGGGGCTGACAGATGGAGAGCGCGATAGACGCCTGAAGATGTCCGCAGTGTGACACAACAGTACTCGGCGGCGTGGAACGACGCATGTGACACATAGCCCAAACCACATACGTGGTTCCACGCCGCCGAGGGTTTTGCACTTTAGTGCTTTTCATTTAGACTATAAATTATAGCTGGAATTCCTTTGATCTTACTCTCAGTCATCATACAAAGTATTATAGCTACTACCATTAGCATACCTGAAGGCCAATGGAACTTGGGCAAATCTGGTTCAGTGTTACATCAAAGTAAGTGTCATAGATGATTCCAGGGATAACTACTTCATCAGAGCTGCTGAATGACTGATTGACACTATCTCCATAGATGACTCCGACTGCAGGAGGCTGGGAGCAGGGGAGAAGGCTTAAGGTGAGGTTCATATCTTCACAGGTGAGGGTCCCAGCAGTCTTCCTGGGGGAAATAGCACCTGACCAAGTAGTTCTGAGCTACTTCTGTCCTGATGGACTCCATGGCCTCACAGGTAGTGGCTGGGGCTGTAAGATGAGGACAGGGAAAGGTTAAGTTTTGCTGGCCCTATTCTTGCTTTAGGCATAATTATACATAACTCAATGATTCACACTGCACGGTTTTAGCACGTCACATTAATAACATGTGGATAATTGTCGTGTGTGTACACTTATTTTCTCTGTGCATAACAAACATTCAGGAGTATGGTTTTTGATCCTCACTTTGCAACACTTTATGTTTGTGCCATTAGATTTATGTGTTGTGCAATGGGGACACCCCTGGCCTACATAATATACTCACGAGGTGAAAGAGTGACAGTGGTGGTTGGAGCAGATGAGGGTTCACAGGAGGGTAGGTCCAGTATGATCTCCCGGTTGATACTGTCACTTGTGAAATCCACCTGTAGAGGGAGGAGGGAACGAAAGGAAAGGACAACAGGGAAATGAACGAGTAGAGATGTATGCACACACCAATATACTTGTAATCCTGTAGAGTAGAACCAAAGGCTATAATATAAAGGCTCTCCCAGTCCCTCCCTCCATACCCTCTCTTATCTCACATTCATAGCAGCTACCTGCAGGTTCATGGAGTAGTCATAGTACCAGACAGTTGCAGTCAGTGTGGCGGAGCCCAACAGCTCTGTTGTTGTGTTTCCCCTCAGAACCACAGTGAAAGGTGTCCCCTTCAACACTATCTGTAAGGTGACGGATGGAGGACTGTCACATGGCATGCATGGGTCCAAATCCAGTCCATCCACTTTAAAGCCGTCAATGTGTCACCTTCACACCGTACTCCATAGCTCTTGCAATTGATATCGTAGGAATCACAGTAGCCGTCTTCGAAAAATGGTGGGAAATGTGTCACACGCGCACTGTGCAGGAATCAGAGGGAAGGACACAGGAATAGTACTGATTCCTATGCTATGATGATGTGAAAGATTCACTGGGTTTTCATCTGGCCGTTGCTGTTGCTCTTGACGACGCCGTCTCTGGATGCATCTCACGTGAGGGGCAGGTCACGTTGTAGGGGTGATTCTTGGCTTGCCTTCATGTCTACCCCGACTCTGACCCTAGTTCTTGTCAGAGGTGTGATATAATGTAGCTATCAAACCCTCCAGCTTGTCGATCCATCTCATTGCAGCTGTTGTCATGCGGAGTTTGTTTCAGATGTATAATAGTAATACTCCAAGAATGTCACTGAAGTATATAACGTCTTTTTATGAACGTTCGGGTGTCACATGCGCTAGTCCTGGAATTTACAAGGGAAGCAAAAAACATTTGACGATAGACGTGTAAAAAATGAAGAGAGACAGGAACATTTTGTAGGATCCGCTTACTTTTTGTTGGAGAAGTGTCACTGATTGTGTGGCCGTGCATTATGGTCTTGCCGGCGTGAGTCCCTGACTCGCCCCCGCGAGAATCCTCTGTCAGCAAACCAGCCTAGCAACACCATCACCGTTAGTCGTCAGGGCCACAAATCCAGAAAAACGCGCAGTCGGTTGCGAGTAAGACGGTTAAAGGTCGCACGTGGGTGGTTCACCGGCGGGCCGCGCGCAAAGTGTGGGAGGATCTACATCTCACGCCTTCCCTCTCTCTCCTCTCATCGGATACGCGTCATCTTGCAGCTATAGCGCAGGATCTCGCGTCCCTCTATTCACCCTACAAAAGGCGACCTTCCACGTAAGCAAAACTAAAAAACTAAAAGCTATCGCCCTCTGGATTTGAATGATAATTTGATAATGAAAACGTTTTCACTCACTCTGTACATAAAAATTATTAGTCACGTAAGTTATGTCCAGAGAACAAAGAAGTCTTCGCGTACTTCAACATGTACAAATCAGTGCAAGGCTAGTGTGAACCACACACCGACCGTCTTTGCAAATGTTCCTAGATGGACTGCATGATAATACAAAGGTTCGAATCTTGGCCCACAACACACCACGGCCAAACTCAGTGCTCCTGTATGGAAAACAGAGAACGTGTGTTCGCATTCGCCTACAGGGAGATGTTCATCAGATTGCTTGTGTGTGACATGTGTCAGTTGAGGGATTAACAGATCGGAACTTTCAAGTCCATGAGACAAAGACATAGCTAATAAAAGAAGTAAATAAGTGAAATGAATAATCTGGACAGTATATACAGTGGTCAATGTGTTTGGGAACCACTTGGTGACCGTTTACCACACACCTATTTGAATAGGCAAATTAGTATACAACGTACTGCAACCACTCCTTGACATGTCATGTGATTCATATCATGTTACCATAGCACTGTTGAATGTGAGATCCATTACTGCAAAATTGGAAGCATTAGAGCTGACACAACTTAGATGTGCTAACATACTGTGTTTTGTGAGACTTGGTTGAATGCATCTCAGCCTTCCCCTGCGTTTACTAGATGACCAGGTGGATATCAGAGTTACTGTGTGAGTAACAAAGGTGGAGTTCTGATGATGTCCCTAGCTGAATGAATCCCCCCAATATACACGGTATTTAGCAGTGAGCACATGCAACTTTGCCAAGATCCAAATTAGCCTTGAGAACTGTGCGTGGTTACTTTGAATAGTGAGACAGTCACCTCAACCATATCAACAAAACAGAGGTTACAGCAAATTCCATTGAAGCGTCTCGGCTACCATTCATGTTCAAAATGTAGGCAGTAACCATCGTTTTCCACATCAATGCATGCTTTTTTTAAATTGCTTTTCCAAGTATATGCAATCCATCCAGTATTTTGACACGACTAGCTAAATGCCTGTTCAAGACCGAATCTGCCACCTTTCATATCCTCAACTATTTCATCAAGTGTCAGACCTTGTACCTTGTGTATGGTGGTAGCCCATGCTAATGTCAGTGGAACTGCAAACGCTTGATTTCAGATCCTCGTTTTCCTTTGGCACACCCTCGGCGCACTACGCATGCGCGGTATCGCTAATTGATGGGCTGGGGCTCGCGGTCTCGTGGAGAGTCTGACACGGGCTAGCTACACTACAGCGGTTTTGCGCGAAACTGCAAATATAAGATTTGCGCATGCGCACAATTTATTTGCAGAGCCATGGCTTCATACGAGAGCAAGCGTACGTCCGCTTACAGTGACGATATGCGGTGGAGAATGGTCTGGCAGAGTCAAGCGTTGGGTCTAAAATTCTCAGAAATAGCTCCTAACCTTGGTGTAGATGCCGTGACAGTCTGTAGAGTTGTCAAGCTTTTTAGACTGATATTATGAAGAAAGCATATCCCTGCAGACCCTCTTACAAAATCACCCCTGCTGTGCAATTTTCAGTTCCTTAGAGAGCACCAACAAGAAACACACAGTCTTGAGGAGGCCAGGAGTCTACCTTAGAGAGCACCACAAGAAATGCCCCTGATATCGTACCTGGACTGCAGGCGTAGTGCCTGTTAAATAGGTATTAGGCTTTGGTAAGACCTGTACACCAACTCTTGTTCCACCGACGTTGAAAATGTTCGTCATCTCCAAGATGATCTTCAGATATCACCAAAATCATGCACAGATCCATGCGCATGCGCAATGTTGGCGTACGACGCAATCTTGCAAGTTTCGCGCAAACCGCTGTAGTAGATCGCATGCGGGAGTCGACAAACGCCCTTTGTTGTAACTTCTTGTGCCTCCAAGGTACGCGGAGTAGGCAGATCAGTTCGAGGTAAGCCAGTGCGATTATGTATATTGACGTTTTCACTACTTCATGCTTAGTCAAAGACACAGCGTGAGGAAATCGAGCACGATATGGGCTGGTTTGAACTGATTTAAGACCAATTCTGTTATCACAAGGACACTAGTGACCTCGCTGTTATTATTGGTAGAAAACATGGACTATTTCACCTCTAGCACCATTCACAACACCATCTGATACATCAACATTAGCTGTTAGCATGACACAAGCACCAATCTAGTTTCAGTGTACTGTGAGGACCACCTGTTTCAATCTTTTGTCGGACAGATAGGATATGACTGGTCTGACCAGCTACAGATCAATGGCTTTTATCGCAAACTGTGCACTCTGTGGAGCCAGGTTAGGGTGTTGCGTGTGTCAACATCGGCATTCAATCTGTACACATGTAAAGCCTGGGTGTGATAATTTGCTGCATCTGCTGCTATTTCACGAGATTTTAGAGTTCTAATATTGTCAGATGTGCAACTGTTGGTTCTAACTCTGCTCTGAGAACACACGGTCACCTCTTTGCCTCATTACCTCAGTCAGTTCAAGCATTAGGAAATGATCAAACCCACAATGAGCCTGACCATACAGATGGACATAGCAGTCACTCACAGTGCTAACAGTGAGCTTGGCCAACTGGTGGTAACTGATACAGATCTCCCATGCTAATATACTCACACCACCAAACACCTTATCATCTAACACACCATTTATCTGCTGCAGTCTTTTGTGGATTTCTAGCAACATATTGGAACCAACCATGCTTACTCGTCTCTGATCACAAACATCAAACGTGACAGTTTGTTCGTAGAGTAGTAGGTGTTAGTATCTGTCATGGCTAAGGGCGCACACTGTATTTGCTACATCCAAGTATAGAAATGCTGAATGCCAATGTCATGCCATTGATATTGAAGTCAGCGACAACCAGTTAGTACCGTCAATCACAATCATCTGCGTTCAAAGGCACGTGACAGTTTTAGCGATTTTCACAGTGTGTGATCAGAATGAACTTAACGTTATGCACATGTGACTTGCACTACCAGCCGGCCACTATGAACACATGATACGGCTCACTGGCTTGCCCTCTTCAGTGCAGGACATCTCTGTCCACAGTCACGATGGCAATGGCTCTCTGCTGCTTCATTTAGCCATTAACAACCATCGCAGTACGAGGATAACAAACATTCGACATGGTGAGTGAGTGTACCACAGAAATTCTTGAGTGGATGTATCTGTGTCTGATCACGTTTGGGTCCTTAACTCTGTCATAATATATCACGATTTGAACTCGAGTCCTTAGCTAATACTCTCCATTCAACGATATCCACCGACTTTAACGTGATGATCTCTGGACAAAACTCAGAAAAATATTGTAAACTTATAAGGTGGGTTAGAGTAGAGAGAGAGTTGGAACATTAAAGTGAATGATTAATGGATGTGCTGTGGGTACCTTTAACTATTGACAACCTCGTAGTACGAGGATGAAATAACCTGCCCTCGTTATGTCATAAGATGTTAGTCAGAATGTGGCCCACATGTCAACGTATATATCATAGATAAGATAACCACGATGATCGTGAATCTCACCCTAGTGTCTATACGCATTAGGTTGATGTAGCCTGAGCGACTGCGCTTTTTAGGCTGCTCGCGAGGCCGAGAGAGTTGCCGTGATCATAGTTACGCGCAGGACGCTCGCATAATGTAGTATTATAATGTGAAAAAGCACTACGTGCAACCCTCGGCGAACTGCGCAGTACACGCGATACTACTGCTCACAGTCGCGCAGTCTTATGACACACGGGCTAGCTACAGTAGTAGATAGCATGTGCGGAGTCGATACACGCCCTCGTTGTGACTTTCCCCAAAGGTACGCAGAGCGGGGTCGGATCATGTCGCGTACAGCCAGTACGATTCTGAGCATGGCAGAACTATACCTTGCTCAATTTGTTGTCCATCGAGAACAGAGATAAAAAATGACTGAGGAGAGGAAACTCTTGCTCGTCCAAGGTCAACTAAAATAACCACGCGGAATCTAGCAGATGCGGAAAACGACATACGCTCATGCGCGATGGCGCTCGCGTCTGATGCTCAGGCAAAACGATACACCCACATACGCGCGTGCGCGATGAATCGCTCGCGTAAGCTTTTTCGCTTGTTTTTCACACCATATCTCTGGAACGCAGTCTTTGGATCGCCACATTAATTGGCGAGCGGGAGCGAGCCAACCTAGTCGTTCGTTCGGGCGGAATTTTCG